CTTTAGTTTTTTGGGATTGACTTACTTCACTTAGCATAGTATTCTCCAACTCTATCCATTTACCTGCAAATGCCACAATTTTATTCTCTTTTAAAGCTGAGTAATATTCCATTGTGTATATTGACCACTGTTTCTTTATCCATTCATCTATTGAAGGGCATCTAAGTTGGTTCCACAGTTTAGGTATTGTGGGTTCAGCTGCTAAAAACATTGGTGTGGCTGTGTCACTATAGTATGCTGATTTTAAGTCCTTTGGGAGGAGTGGGATAGCTGGGTCAGATGGTGGTTCCATTCCAAGTTTTCTGAGGAATCTCCACACTGCTTTCCAAAGTGGTTGCACCAATCGGCAGTCCCACCAGCAGTGTATGAGTGTACCTTTTCCCCACATGCTCTCCAACGATGATTATTGCTTCCATTCTTGATAATTGCCATTCTGGCTGGAGTGAGATGAAGAGTATTTTTTATTTGAATTTTATTTGAATTTAATGAGACACATTCTTTTTTTAATATTTACTTTTTAGTTTTAGGTGGACACAATATCTTTTTTTATTATTATTATTATTTTTAAGTGACACTGAGGATGGAACCCAGTGCCTCATGCATACTAGGCGAATGCTCTACCACTGAGCCCCAGCCCCAGCCCAAGAGAGACACTGTCTTACTAAACTGGGAAGAGAAGGGAATTTCTTGAACTGATGAGGCTTCCATGCCAAAAATCTAAAGCTGGCACTAGACACGATGATCCTCAGCCTCAATAGAAGAAGTAAAGGTAGGGAGAACGGAGACAGAGAAAAGGAAAAAGACTGTAGCTGTGAATCTGAAAGCTCCTGCGGTCAGACTTACTCTCCAGATCTGATTTTCCTCCAGGCCCGTCTCTCTCAAATTTCTGAGAAATCTACAAATGTTAGAGCTACTGTATTTGCTCATCTATAAAAATTGCCCTATTTTGATTAAAGTTCAAATGTACTGTTCACTGGTGCAATGAATTTTCAGATTAAATAAAACAGAAATGTGTATTTTACAAATCTGTACTATAAACCCATTCCAAGCATTATCTCAGATAGTGTCGATCTCAGGCTCCTGGAAAGAACCAGAACATCATAAACAACCCGTGACCCATGATCAGAGAACTGAGTTCACCATCTGATGTTCCCAAACACAGCCCAAGTTCAGCCCTGGTAAAGTTTTCTTTAAAAGAAGAGTCGTAGCCAGAAGAAGTGGCACATGCCTGTAATCCCAGGAACTCAGGAGACGGAGGCAGGAGAACCCATAATTCAAGTCCAGCCTGGGCAACTTAGTGAGACCCTGTCTCAAAACAAAAAGATCCGGGGGTGTGGCTCAGTGACAGAGTTCTAGGGGTGGTTTCAATCTCCAATACTTTAAGGGGGAGGGGGGGGAAGACACAAAGTATCTAGAATGTAGAAGAATGAGCCAAAAAAAATTTTTTTGAGCCAATTTTTTTTTGACAGAATATTTTGCTAAAGGAAAGAGAATCTGAACAAATAAATATTCCATCAAAATGTGCGTGTTCTCCACATTCATCTCCCAATGTCATACGATGCTAACCAAAGTTCCAGTTGGAGTTCCCTGAGAGAGTTGATAAATTTACTACAACATTTTGCTAGCTGGACAAAGATCCACAAACCACTAAAAAAAAAAAAGAAAAAGAAAAAAAACTTGAAAAAAGAAAAGTCTGGAGGGTAGGCTTTTTTTCCTCCAAGATTGATAAAACCAAAATAATAAAAACATTTGTGGCCTTGGCACAAGAACAGACAAGGAGAGGATGAACGGAAGAGAGGACCAGCAGGCAAGCTGCCAGGGAGAGGGACTTGACATCTGATCAGCCAGATGATGCTGGAAGAGACAGCTCTTTGTGTTCAGAAAACCAAAACTGGATTCCTACCTAATAGGCCACGCAAAGGTGGCCCCTAGAGGGTTCGCTGTAGACGTGAAGATCAAAAGACAAAATTAAGCTGGGCATGGTGGCGTACACCTGTAATCCCAGAAGCTGGGGAGACTGAGGCAGGAGGATCATGTGTTCAAAGCCAGCCTCAGCAATGGTGAGGCACTAAGCAACTCAGTCTCTAAACAAAAAATACAAAATAGTGCTGGGAATGTGGCTCAATGGTAAAGTGCCCATGAGTTCAATCCCCAGTACCAAAGGAAAAAAAAAAAAAAGACAAAATTAACAAAAGACAGTGCAGGAGGGTACTGTTGCAGTGGGGCAGGAATAAAAGACTTAAAAGGTTCAAAAGCATAACACGGAAGCACAGACCCCCTCCCTTTCTGCAGAAAGAAAAAATTTTAAAGAAAACTTGATGAATTTGATTATGCTAAAATGAAGAGTTTTGTTTAACGAAAACACACGTGGGCAAAATTAAGAGGCACTTAACAGAACAAAGAAGGTGTTTGTGATGTCTAAAGCCAATAGGACGTTAATATCTAGAATAAATGAAGATCTTGTGCAAGTCAACAGAAAGTCGGCAAAAACCCCAAAGAAAATGGCCTGAAGATCTGAACAGGCAATTTCCAAAAGACAAAAATTAAATCCAATAAACACAGGAAGAGATGATCCAAATCCTTAGTAATGAAAAATGGGGCAGAAGGGGTCTAACAGCTGGATGTGGGGTGGTAGGTGGGTCCTTGGGGAACCATCTGGTTCTACTTATGCAAATCAGGGTTCCATACCTGGGGTGCACCAGGGGCTCCCCTCCCAGCCACCCTGCAGACACACTGGCAGAAGTGAGAGTGGAATGGTGGGTAAAAATGCATAAATGGATACATGCAGATAAGAGAGAGACCTGCCTAGACCAGCCATATAATGAACTAGGAACTGAGGAGCATGGTAACACCCCCCCATCTACACACGCCCCCCCCCCAGAGCTTGCAGGCCGCCGGCAGGGGGGCCCAGGACCTCTGTGGGAGAAGAGAGGAGCCCACAAGTTTCAGTGACTCATGGGAATATCTTATGGTCTTAGGGCACAGGGACAGGGTAGAAAATGCTCCTGCACATCCCAGTGCAAACGAGGAAACTGACTTGGGCTAATCTAAGTGACCAGAGTACTAGAGGTGAGAAGGGGGCAGTGACTTGGGCTAGGGGAGTGGCAGGTGAGGGGTGGGGGGAAGGTGGGAGGGGTGAGACTAATCATGGGCACTCACGCCTCCTGCTTTTATGGCCCAGATCCCGGCTTCAGCCTGAAGGAGAAAAGGCCAGGG